AATCCTAGTTAGTCTCCAGAATCATAGTCCAGCAGTCAAAGCACTAAACCATGCTGGTTCGTTGGCATGCCTACATGTTCTTAATATATAAAATAAATAAAATACATTGTAATCCAACACTTAATACACTACTTTAGCCATAACTGATTATTGTGGTACTGTTGTGTTACATATATGATAATGATACAATATGTTTAAAAGAACTGTAGCATTTTTAGAATCCCCAAACCCATTTGTGACGCCTTTGTTAACTCAGGTGTAGCAATACAATTTTCACTAATTCTATTCTGGAAGAAACCAGCAAGTAGACTTAGCAATTTTCTTCCCTTTCCAATTTTAAAATACTTTTCACAGTTCAGGACTCAGTTCTGTGCAAAAGTGTATATGTTGTTTTTGCACAGGAAACAACCATTTCTGTGCTGTTTCCTACACAGAAAATATTGTAATTGGGGACTTAGGGCCTCTGCAGACTGGCCCAAAGGACTGGCCTGGAGGCAGAAATGGGGTGGGGCAGCTGCACGCCGGCGGCATCCTGACGCTGCACGCCATTATGCACGGTGTGTGGCGTCAGGATGCATTCCAGCGCAACGTTTTGACGTGATGCACTGGAAAGGGTGCTAAAGGTCCTGAAAGGTGCAGCATTTTGCCGCTCTTTCAGGGGCGGCAAAAGGGAGGATTGGAGCTGCGGTGTGCAGTTGCCACAGCTCTGATCCACTGCTAGCAGGAGCAGCCCAGAGCCGCCCATCTGCAAAGCCCCTTACTCTGCACCAAATTTACACTATTTTTGCACAGAAGTCTTGGAATGCATCAATTCTTATCAATTCCAGATGTTCCTCATCAGGGTTCCCCAATACTTGAAAAGCAGGCTTTGTGACAAATTTTCAAATATTTTCAAATACTTTGAAAGTCAAAAGAACCACAAGGAAAGAGGCTTGGTGCAATGAAGGTGCTGGTCATACTTGGACATCAGACTGAGCAGTCAAACAGTTCATCTGGTCACAGCCTTCCCAAGCATAGTTAGATACTATCCAAGTCAAAAGAGGAAAGTTAGTGCTTTTCGCCTTCTTTTTTGCCAACATATTTCTTCTTTTTCAGAGACTTTTAAGTAGCCTGTTGAGGAAGATACAGAAGGTAGGTAGCCAAAAAGCTTACTGTATCTGACCATTATCATATGTATAGCTAAAAAGAGGGAAAGTTATATGTACAAGTGATGGGGTGAGTAAGGAGTAGAGTGGAGTGAAGACAGCAATAGGAAGGAGAGAAAACCCCTTTCTTTGCCAGATTTCGTCTTTCACTCAGCCATCCCTCCACTCACAAATTCCTTGCTGTATTGCTCTCCCTCTGTGCCTTCTCACTCTTACTCTGGGAAGAGAAATGCAGACCTTTACTGCTTTCATTTTTTAAAATTTAAAACTGATTCAAGTAACTCTTCAGGCTCCTGACTTATGTAATCATACAGGTCAGTACCAGACATGTCAACATTTAATTTGCGCTGATGGAAATTACTGCTTATACTTTATCAAAATGACAATGATCTCATCCATTTGTCCAAGTATTGCTTGTTACAATAAACACAACTAGGCCTGAGTTTTGATGCAAGTCAGAGTACATCTTTCAAACAGTAGCTTTCTTCTAACACAACATGAATTTTATTTTATTTGTTTTTGCATTTTCTGTATATTACATTTATATCACCCCTTCCTTTCACAGAATCATAGCTGAAAGAGATCACAAGAGCTAGCCAGTCCAACCCCCTATCATGAAAGAATACACAACTAAATCAGAAGTACAACTGAGTAGAAGCTCTGAAAGCAGAGCAGGAACAAAAGACTGTCAGACTAGTTCTACCCTTGCTTGAAGCCAGCAGAACTCAGTTGAATCTGGAAATGATGTTTTTTGGGACTACAGATCATAGAATCCTCTGGCCAGTAGGCCAAAAACTTAATTTTTCCAAAGTACTGTATCTCTTTTTTTCATTGTTCTTTAGGTCTTAATCTGTAGTGAGCTATGGAATATACACAAGTACAGCCCAGGATAAGAACACACTAAACTGGAAACCATTTTTTTCTGTCCTTTTGGCCTCCTTTTACTCTTGTCTTTGTTCAGTCATGGACTCATAGAGCAAGGGTAGGAGAATTGTCAACCACAGTCCACTTTATGTACCACAGCTGTTTCTGCAGCCC